GAGACCCTGTACCAAATATATTAAAAATAAATAAAAAAAATTTTAAATGAAAAATTCAAAAGGCCTTCTCAAAACCAAGTGGAAGAACCAGAAGCTATACAATTCAGCACAATGGCATTAAGGGCAAAAGGAGAATATTCGAAGATGCCATTTCAAATTTGTTGACCTGTTTGGGGGGGGGAACTACTTAAGTTATTATGAGTTCCTTGAAAATCTTCAGTAATTTCTTACACTAGAACTCAATTCTGTCAATTCCCTAAATGTAGAAGGTAAAGACTAGAGTTAGAGATCCTGCAGATGTATCTTCAGAGAGTAATCTCCAGCACTTTGAGCAAGCTTGCTGATACCTGGAGATTGCTTACCATTCAGGAAGAATGCCTTGTGATGATCACATTGGAGGCACCAGCATTAGCATTGTAGGGCATAGGATATGCATCATTAACAATGGGGACTACTTGTGCCAACTATAATTGTGCAGAAGAGAGGAAAACATCATAGGAGCCTGACATAGAGCATTAATAATCATGCCTACACCTTCAGAGCTGTACTTTGCTACTCAACATGCCATCTCACAAACTTGATGTCATTGTTCCCCAAAAGCTGTGTAACAGCAAATTTTGTGGAGAAAATCTCAGTAAACAGTCATTTACTCAAGGAGTGAAGCAATTAAATGGAAACATGCTTTCATTTTGCTTCTCACCATGTAAATTTAGATCAGTTACTGAATACTCTTTGTGAATTTAATGGATTTTACCAATTCAAGCTCTGAACCCCCTAGCAGGTTAAAACCTGTTAAAGTATAAGCAGACCCAGAGGAGTCCATGGAATTTGTGGTTCTGGCATCCCTGGAGAAGCAGATGAAAGTAGAGATGAGTGCATAATTGATGAGGAAATTGACTTGGCCAAGGCCTTGTTTTTGTGATATCCAATCTCAGCCAGTGGAAATATGCCAGAGCTAGAGCACTCACCCATAGTAGCAGCAGTGCACCTTGGGGATAGAGGAACAAAGCAGATGATCTCCTTTATTATAGTCTTAGTAGACTCCTCGTTCAAAACTTATACTTACTAATACTTACTAATAAGTTTAATGGGCATGGACCAAAAACATACCAAATTTGTATCATGAAATCTTTTCCAGTGCATTCCAATAAACCTTGTCTGTTCAATTAAGACAGTGCTTATCATGAGGCCTGTGATTTTGACCAACACACTCATAGAAATAGAACAGAAAAAGGGAATGTCCTTCTGTCTGCACTGACACTAGTGGAAGAAGAGTTTGTGAGTATGGCCAGTTCTGTTGATGAAGACATTCTTCTAGGCTCTGATGAGTTTTAGGTCTCACAAAATAAGTTGGTGTCTGTCCTTGTAATGCTATCAATAACTTCCAGAGGTTGGGTGAATCACAATAAAGTGATTCTTGATAACGTGAAAGGCAGAAACTTTTCCTAATGTCTTTTTTGTGGAGAACCAGCAGGAAATTTGAAACATTTGATTTTTTTAAAATAAGAAATCTGATCATGTTTAGGGGACATGGTCTTTTTGGAGGGGAAGAAGTAGTTAAAAATTTGTCTCACTTGTGTTGATCTGTTGTAGTCCTCATCACATTCCTCCTGTGTTACTCTCCCAAACTCCACATGTATCAAAGAATCTCAGGTCTATTTGTCTATAGGATACACATCCATGAACAGAAGAAATCCTGGCTGTAATAATGCTTAAGAGATGTTTATTTTCTTGTATTCTGAGGGGAATTAAGCTCATTATTACCTAGATATTGCATTTCTATTATTCACACTATGTTCATTTTGTAATGGAATTTATTTTCTATGAGTGAAAGTAAGTCAAGAGGGTTATTCCCTTTTGTGAGTTAAATACCCACCTGTGCACAGATTCAATGCCATTAGCTAAGTAATCTTTGGTCGTTTTTGCAGTGTTCCATTTCTTGAGGATTCAGTAGGTCTCTAGGGAAATTTGTCCTATTTGTTTCCTTGAAGTTTCTGTTATTCTGAAGGCTCTGTCTTAGCTAAGATGCACAGCAGATCCTATCAAAGGTTACTATTCTATCTAGGGAAAGCTCACAAAGAATATCCCCTCATCAAGAGATCAGTTTTGGCTAATATGTCTTGTAATTCTATTAGAGAGTATCTTAAAATATACAAATATTTAAGTGATTTTTTAATAACTGCAAAAATCCTATGTGGCAATTATACAAAGAAATCCTATAAAGAAAAAAATCTTTATAGGCATTATTAGTATATCTTGGTGTGATTAGTATCATAATACTTCTGATTAATTATTTAAAGGTTTGCCATGCCCTAGCCTCTTTTCTCATTGTAATTATTATAGTTGGAACTTTGCCTCTGAATCCAAGGTGCTATATGATAGTCTTTGCTTTTGTTGTATTTGATGTTCAGTTGAGTTTTATGTATGGTTTGAGAAGGGTGCTTACTGTTATCCAGCAGTTCCAGGTTTGCTGGCTCTGAATTTTCAAATTAAGGAGGAGACAGACTTTCCCCACTGTGGATGCTTTATAGCTACACTATTTTAAATGTGCATATTCATGATAATTGGCATTGTATTTTGCGATCCAGTTCTGGAATTCATAGACTAGAAATGATGGAATGAACGAATACCAAAGGAACTTAGAAACGGTGACTTAGAGATGAAGCTAAAGAATAGCATTCAGAGATTACAAATTTCAGTGTAGAATAATTCAACAAAATAAGGATACAGAATGTTTTGGGATTGATAAGAATGTGTTGTAAAAACAATTAGACCTGATGGGACTTGAATGACATTATCAGATACAAAAGTTACATTTCTTGTTATATAGGTCTTGCTTTATCTTGGTCTTAACCATCAGAAAAGTATAAAAATGAGGTATAAAAAGTAAAGCCATATTAATATGCTGAGCTGTGAAAGGCTCAAGTCAACAACTTCTGACATTGCCAGTCCTACAGATAACCCACTACTATTATGGACGACTGGACTATATTGAATTATTTTGCTGAATTCACACACCTACAATATTTAAATGGCAATGGAATAGCCATCTCTAACAAAACTAAACAAAAAAAGAGGATATAAAAGAAGGGCCATTTTGTATCTATATATTCAAAATAGTTCAGATAGATATACAGCTACTTTCTCTTAATTCCGTGAATAGAAAGAATTGTACTAATAATGTTTGTGGACAGGATATCATGTCTGTATATTATACTATGAATAACCACTAAGAAGATAACAATATGCAATGTAGTAATTATTGAAATTGTCCTATTAATTGGTTTTGAAACTGTCTCATTGCTGTTTCTCAATAAATTAATTTAAAAAAAACAACTAGAGACACTTTACATTGGGTTAAGTGATCAAAAGCCTTAATGATTTTGAACACAAAAATACTGTATTACACTGCTGAAATATTTTAGATTTCATTATTTTATACTGGATCCACTCTGTAATTTTTTTAAGGAACACCTTTCAAATTTTTTCTACTGTTTTTGCTGTTCATCAGCATCTATTCTATCATGTAGGTTTCAAAATGATATGGGAGCAGATTTTTTAAAAATTAGAGATGAATTTTTTTAAGGAAAAGCCATACACCCTGTCATGTTTTCAATTTTAAAATGATTTACTGAAACAAAATGATACAAATAAAGGGATGGCCCAATAGCCCTGCAGACTAAAGCACCTGCTTAGGCAGGGTGCAGCGGCCAGGGTTCAATCCCTGATAGGCAGTGCCGGGCCCACCCCCGGATCTCCCTGAGACAGTGATTGAGATTGGGCGTGGTGGCGTGCACCTGTAATCCCAGCACTTGGGAGGCTGAAAACAGGAGAATCACTGCTAGTCCAATATATGTAGTGAGACCCTGTAGACCCTGTCCTAAATAAAAAATAAATAAATAAATACCCAGAGGCATCAAATAAGCTTCTTTAGTCTGTTTGTAATTGAATGTAAATAATAAAAATTTTACACATCTAAACGAAGGGGAAAAATAGTATGTCACATCAGGTATGGTGGACAGCATTCATGTAAGAGATCAGATATGATTTAGAAAAGTGTATTTAGGGTCATGCTGTTGAAAAGAACTATATTGTCTGTCAGTCTCCTCATATTGCAGGAATTTTCCTTTGCTCTGTAATTTCAAACAAGTTGGAGTTTTACAAACATTTTCTAAACTTCTATTGTATTACTGCAACTGAAGGTTATATTTCCTTAAAGATACTATGTTGTCAAAATTTTAGATATATGGAGTTGATTTTAACTCTTTTCTTTTGATTTAATTAAAATTAATTTGTTTAATTTGAATTTTTATTTAGAAAATTCATTTCGATCATAATAAATACTATTTTATTCAAAAAAGGCATAATTAGATACCTAAGCATTTGTAGCTATTGAAGTGGGACAGTTTTTTACTTAGGTTCCCTTGTATTGTAAAGGGATTTTGTTATTTTTCTATGAAGTCATAAGATTTAGTTAAAGAGCAGAATGAGTAAACACAACCTCAAAAAACTGCTAATGGGGCTGGTGAGATGGCTCAGTGGTCTAAAGCACCTACTTAGAACAAGCTTAGCAAGCACAGGGACCGCGGTTCAATCCCCCAGCACCACATGCCAGCC